CAGGTGACTTTGATACTTGTGCAAAGGCTCCTGCTACGCCCCAGCCCTCAAAGGTAGGACATTTTCTGCTAATAACTTGCAAAATAAACAGTTTTTCACTCCTCGCTTTTCTTTGCAGTAGCTCATTTTAGGTTTACAGGAAGCCTGTCCAGATGCAGGGATTGTCTCACTTCTGCAGTGGAAGTTGGATGTATTTTGCTGTGTACTAAATATTTGGAAGAAGGAAGGTTTGTGGTAATTACAACCTTTCAGACAGGCTTGGAGAAGTAAGTCGAGCAGAGAAATGTGGTAACAATTCTTAAGAGTGTTCATAAACTGCAGAGAGGCAGAGAAACCTTTGCTCAATGACAGCAGGCACTGTGTAGCAATGGTTGCTGGCTAGAGCTGAGACACAGTTCAAGGGGGTTTTGTAGAGGGAAAAGCAGGGAGCAGCAAAGACTTTCAGATGTGTTAGGGAAAACAGTAGAGTTGACAAGAAGAAATCAGAAGGAATGGACTGCAGAGGTCCTGCAGTCGAGGAAAGGAGCAGCAGCTTTGAAACTGAGGTTCACATCAGCTGTATTCCTGGGAGGACAGAGCTGTTTCCAAGCAGCTCTTCTGGCCACTGCAGTGCTTCCCCCAGGGGCTTCCCTCAGCAGCTGAAGACAGGACCACTGGTGTTTCAAGTGCTGCTTCATCTGCTCATGAAACCCAGGGCTAAATCTGCTGCTGCAGCATTATTGCTCAGTAGTAAATACAAAACCTGCCCATCTCCACCAGGTTTTTCTGATGCAGTCTCCTGTCAGCACGGCCTGTGTTGCTGCCAAACCCATTCCAAAGACTGTGTTCTGGCAGATGTCAAAGCAGGAGCCACCCGTGCTCTATTCTCCTTGTAACTGTAATTACTTTTTTCTTTGGAGTGTAGGACAAAAGTGGAAAGGAATCTACGACCACTAAACCAAGCTCAAAGGATAAAGGAAAGCCCAGAGAGCCTAAAACGGTACAAACACATTTATTATAGTATGGACAGTCATACCACAGGGGCAGAGGGGCAGCTGGATTTTGGACTTATATTGCAGGGTCGTTATTTTGGGGAGAGTTTTACATCAATATGTTGAATTTGATCCATTTTTGTAAACATGCACATTGGAGAAAGGCCCCTGCCAATTTCAAGGGGAAATTGGCAATAAACAGGTGCAAAAAAAAATAGGTATCTGTCAGAGAGAGTGCTGTTTTCTGAGGGGGGGGGCCTCACTGCATGCTCCACAGGTTCTCCTTCCCAGATTTGTAGATCTAAGAGTCCCACTTTGCCTGCCTGTAGCTGCCTCAGGCACAGGATCCCCACCACTTCTCTCATTTCTTGACAGTTTTGAGTAACAGCATCCAAAAGTGATTAAAAAGTACTCCTACAACCCCAGCCAGTTTCTCAAGTTATTGTCATAAATTATTTTTTAAAATTAATGACTACCTACATACTTTCATTAAAAAGTATGAATGAACGTGGTGAGGAAAAGCAGGTTGCTGTTTCTGTGTTAAAAAAAAACGGGTGAGAAGGGGAAGGTAAAAAGGGTTGCTTGGCTTTTTTTTTAATCCAGAAGTAGAGAAAATTGATTCAGGTCAGGGTGAAGCTTGTTCCATCATATTGTTCTCACAGAGGATATGTAGATGCCTGAATCAGATGATTACATCTGCTCTGGGAATTTTACATTTCACGTCAGTAATGGGATTTCTGGTTGTTATTATTAAATCACCACAGGTGCCTTTTTTGAGACGCCAGAACTGACTTGCAGCTCTCAGTGTAAAACTGAGGGGTGTCTTTATCTCCTCTTCAGGAAGACTTTCTGAGCTGTGGCCTGATCACTGGTGTGGGTAAAAGGGTGTTTAGGAACAAGGAATGATGAGGTCAGGCACAACCCACTCTGTCTGAAAGAAAGCAATTGATGGTGAAAAGGTGAAAATATTCACACTCAGCACGAGTCACAAATACTCTTGTTAAATTACTGTATTTCAGGTGCAGTTTGTATTTATGTCTGAACTGTGATTCTGATGAGTGTCTTGTCATTGCCTGATTTCAGGTTTTAGCTTGGTTCAGTTTCTCATTGTCTCATCCTCTCTTTAGGCAAAGGGACAGTCCTCCAGCAGCAAATCTGAGAAGCAGAAAGCAAGCTAAACGTTAACCTTACCAGGTGAGATTTCTTCTTCCCTGTTCCCTGGGCTACCACAAAGACAATTTCATGCTCGTGAATTAAAGCTGAGTTTTGCTAGCAGTCCCTGAACCAAACCAAGACATGGTTACAACTACTGCTAAGTCAAAATGCTTGGGATGACTTTGCACTTCAGGGTTCCCAGGCAGGAAAGCTTTTTCACACCCTTTATCCATTCAGTTTGTACAGTTTTGAAGTTTTTTGAAGGTTTGTTTTGTTTTTTTGTTTGTTTGTTTGTTTTTTTTAAAGTTTTACATCTTCATGTTGCTAAACTCCTTTAGGAGTTTGGGCAGGCTTGATCTCCATGTGGGAGAAAAGGGAGACACAGTCCAACACTTAAGATTAGTTCCAGATTATGATTTTTTCCCCCCCCCCTCAGTCTTTACCTCTGTTAAAATTCCAACTGTTTGGGCACATCCATGAGGAAACTGAGACAGGCTGGAACCATGCAGGAAATAAACACCCGGGGACTCAACAGCAAGGGCAAGCTTGTAAGGGCGAAGAAATCAAGTATCCTTAAGCACAAGTGGCAATTAACGGATTTTGGTTAAGTTTAACACAGAAATAAGACTTTTAAGCAGGTAAATGGAGCAGGCCACTCACAGTGAAAAACAGAAACTCCACCAATCAAAAAAAAAAAAAAAAAACAAGCTTTTTCACACCCTTTATCCATTCAGTTTGTACAGTTTTGAAGTTTTTTGAAGGTTTTTTTTTTTTAAGTTTTACAACTTCATGTTGCTAAACTCCTTTAGGCTGGTGGAATTCCAAGCATTCCAAGGTGTAACATGCTGCTTCCCTAAGACATTTTCACAGAGTAATGAGGATCAAGCACATCTCAGCTGGAGGTTTTGATCTTTAGGGCATTGACCTTGTGTAATTATTTCTGCTCTAGATCCATCTGGAGGCTTAGTTCCCATAATTCCTCCCAGATTTACAATGTGAGTTTTATTTCCAATTAACAGAAGATGAGCACTCTGACTTTATTTTTTTGTTTTGTTTTCTCCCCCCACCAGGATCCTGCTGCATCGTGTAAAATGTCTTCTTTCTGTGGGTGGATGATTATTCCTGAAGAACAAAAGCTGATGCCAAAAGCACATAGTTATTCTGGGTGGTTTTTGTACAGTGATACTTGCTGGACTTTTTCTCATCTTTTCTTTTTTTCCCAGTAGTAGACTCAGGTGTATTTCTTTCCCCTAGCAATTCAGTTTATTAAGACTCACATAGTCTGACTTTTTTGTAATTTCCTTCAGCATTCAGGGGGAAAGAATGCTTTCTATTTGCAGGAAATATATTGCACCAATGAAGAGCTATGCCAAAAAAAAAAAAAAAAAAAAGAGAGAAAAAATATCTGCAGACTTTTGCACATAATCTTCACATAGTGCCTGTAAATCTGAAGAGTTCATATGTGCTAGCATTTTTCAATGTTGCAGTGGATGCATTAAGTATTCTGGAATATAGTGAGCTTTAGTTACCCTCAGCTGGGCTGTGCAGCCTTCTGCTCAGGCCAGCTCCTGGTGGGAAGCTGCAGGCCAGCTGTGGGGTGGCTAAAGAGTGAGAAACTGGGGATTAGCCGCTTCTTCCAGCACGTCTGGACATCAAGCAGGTATCTGGGATGCTGCCTTTAGCAGTAGTTAAAACACACTAGGGCAGGACTTTTTTTTTTTTTTTTTTTAATTATTAGTATTACCATTATTTCCAATTGTATCTGTACTGTTATCTCATAATTTCAGGAGTCTCCTGGACTGGACAAATTACAAATGTAACAGCTACCAACACAAAGGGGTGGGGAAGGAAAGGAGGGGCACGAGCCTCAGCAGCGATCAAAGCTCAGGTCCAGGGGCGGGCTCCTTTTTATCTTATTTTGCACTGTTTCTAGTCCTCCTGTCCCTGGCACTCCAGCAGGGAACACAGGGATGGGGCTGAAGGCGTTGCTGCAGGGAGCAAAGCCCCATTCCTGCTGTTCCCTGTGAGGGCAGGCACGGCCTCTCACGGGTCGGCTGCGGCAGCCCTGGGTGTGCCACCACCTCCGCGGGCTTTCCTCCGCCTCGCTGCCCTGCAGAATGTCCTTCTGCACATCCTGACACGCTCACAGCTCTGCCGTGGGCTGGCAAAGGGAGGCCGCTGGCAGCAGAGCCCACAGTCTGCGGGCAGGGATGGTGCAGAGGCTGAAGTTGGGGATATTTAGACTCGTGACTGTACTTGCAGTCTGCACCGTGCCTCTCCAATAAAGTTTTTAAGGATGCACTGTGCCCTTCCTGGCTTTTCATTTATCACCGCTGCTGTCAGGAAGAAGAAAACCTGGAAATAATTTTTAAAAAACCCACACAAACGCTGGCACATTAAAATTGAATCTAACACTTCAGGAAAAAAAACACCGCAAAACACAGAAGTGCAGAATCAGCCAGGCTGGGAAAGACCTTTGAGATCATCAGGTCCAAGCTGTGACTGAACACCAGCTTGCCAAGCACACCATGGCCCTTGGTGCTACATCCAGCCTTTTCTTAAACACCTCCTGCAACTCCACCACCTCCCTGCTTTCTTGCGACTGGATGTGGCCCTGGCTGTCAGGGCTGGGTAAAAGGCAGCATTCCTTTGCCCTGCAGGCGGCACACGACAGCCACCAGGAGTGGCCGAGTGTCCCCGGCAGTGACACGGCGCGGCCACGCCGCGTGTGGGGACAGCGCTGGCCACGCCCCTTTCCCCATCAACCCCGCCCCCTTTCCCCGCTCCGAAACCGCCCCCCTCTGCTGCGGCCCCGCCCCCAAGCGCCCCTCGCACCTCCCATTGGCCGGCGGCGTCGCCTCGCGCCCGCCGCGGCCTGCCATTGGCTGCGGACGGCGCTGTTGTTGTTATTGCTGTTAGCGCTGTAAACAGGAGCGGCGCGGTGTCGCCGGTCAGCGCCGGGCGCCTCTCATCGCCTCACACCAGCGCACACCTCTCACTCGCCGTCTCTTTTCACCTCTTCGTGTCACTTCTTGTCCCCCGTCACTTGCCGGAGCTCGCTCGCTCACTCGCTCCCTGCGCGGGCCATGTCCCTGCGTGGCGGCCGCTGTCTGCCCGGGCTGGCGGCCGTGTCCCCGCTGCCCTCCCCGGGCACGGCCCCGCTGGCGCTGGACACGGCTGAGGGCCCGGACAGGTGAGGAGGTGGCCGGGGGGCCGGGCTGGCTTTGTCCGCCCGCCCCACGCGGGACTCCCCACGGCCGCGGGGCCGTGCCCGAGGGCGCTTTTGGGATGGTTTTGGGATGCCCTGGTTCAGCTCCTGCCGCCGGCCCGCCGGGGCAAGAAGGGGCTCAGGGCACCCGAGGCACTCACACCTTCCCGTCCCGACCGCCCGCAGGCCCCGGGACACCCCGAGCAGGGGGCACGGGGGGCCGCCCCTGCCGCGGCTGTGGCACTCAGTGTCCTCGGAGCCGCTGGCCTCGGACTGCCCCCGGGACTCGGGCATCTCGGATGCAGGTGAGGGATGCGGCTGCTCCGCCCCACAGCCGTCCCCGAGGGTGTCGGAAGGGGGTCGGGGGTGGAGGCGGGGCAGCTCCTGGGGAGCGTTGGGCAGGAGGAGCCCGTACCTGCTCTGCCTGGGGCTCAGCCGGGAACCGCTCCGCTGGGGACCGCGCCCAGGGTGACACGCGACATTCCGTGCGGCACCGCCGCTCCCAGCGGCGCTGCCACCCGCCTGCCGGCGGCTCCCGGCCCGGTCCCATCCCTGCTCCGTGTTCCCCAGCAGGATCGGGGCAGGGCTCCCACACGCGGCAGAGCCTCGCAGCGGTTCAGGAAGAGTGAGTGGCCCCATCCCCGTGTCCCGCCGGGGCCAGCCCCTGTCCATGCCCCGCCTCTCCCGAGCAGCAGAGCCCGTCCTCAGCCTGGTTGGGGGCTGCGCATCCGGCTGTGACCCCCAGCCTATGTCTGGGGGTGGCAACATGAGCTGCTTGGGCGGGGACGCGGGTGGACCACTGATAAAACCCAACTCTGTTCTCCCCACAGCTTCCAGAAAACCATCGCGGAGTTTGGGAGAGCTCTCAAAGGGTACGTGAAGGGGCTCTGTCCCTGCGGCAGGACATGACTGCCAGGCTGTCCCTGTCCCAGACCCAAAAGCCAGGCTGCTCCCGTTGCAACTCCACCACCTCCCCGGACAGCCCCTTCCAGTGCCCAGTCACTTTTTTTACATGTTGGTGACTCCATGAAAGCCTTCACAAGCTCATCGAGACCCTGCCGAGACATTTTTGTTGCCCCTTTTCCTTTGTATTTCAAAGGGCATATCTTAACCTGTGGACTGCCGCTGTGCTGGGAGGCAGCTGGAAGAGCAAGGTGTAATTCACTGAGATTGATTGTGCCCAGATAAATCGACAGGTCCTGAAATAGCTGTGTGTGAGGTCCCATCTCTTCTGCAGGAGGGCTGCAGTTTAGGACAACAGGCACATCTGAAATTAAAAGGGTTGGGAGGGAGTAAGAAGGGGGGCTCTGTGCTACCAGGAAGGCACCCTCAGAACTGAGCAGTTAAAAGCAGAAATGCCATTTACTGCTCACAAAAGAAATGACTGCACAACAGGGGACAAAAAAAGACTTTGCAGAAAAATCACCCGCAATTTGAGTTTTTGTCCAATTCCCCATTAGGCTCTTAAAATGTTTTAAAAGCAGCAGTTGACAATACTTGCAGAGCATAAAATGACATAGAGCTTTCTCAGAATTCCTGATTTATGTATAAATATATGTATATATTAAAAAATACATGGAGTTTGCTGTGAGCAGGAGGAAGTGTGCTTTCTGCAGGGTTGTGTCAGAGCTGTTGGCTCTCAGCACTGCGACAGGGTGCCTTCCAAACACCCACGGAGTGTTTTTTTCACACCCTTTATCCATTCAGTTTGTACAGTTTTGAAGTTTTTTGAAGGTTTGTTTTGTTTTTTTGTTTGTTTGTTTGTTTTTTTTAAAGTTTTACATCTTCATGTTGCTAAACTCCTTTAGGAGTTTGCGCCCCGTATCCCTCCTGGAGTCCCACTCAGGCCATTGATGTTTGTTCGATGCCTGGAAGTGCTGTTGTCCCACGTCTCTTTGGGGAGCTGTGACAGCCCTTTAGCGGCCTTAGCCCACCCTGAGGTGACAATGGCAGAGGGGTGGGACACAGCGGTCCGGGACACCTGCAGTCATTCGATGCTTTCCTTGCAGCAGGAAGTTCCCTCGCCAGAGGATCGGCTCCTTGCCGGTGAGTGCGGGAGGCTGTGCAGGATCCTGCCGAGTCTCCGGCCGTGCCGAGACGGTGAGAATGGAGCCAAGAGAGGGGACAAGGCTGTGCAGCACTGTTCACCCCCTGGCTATCCCGCAGCAGTGCCAGCTGGAAGCCAGCCCGGTCCTTCAGGACATCTCCCAGCTCCAGGTGTGCAGGGACATAGTGCGGCAGCGCCAGAGTGAGCCCGACGATGAGGTGAGGGGCGCGGCGAGATCTGGGGGGTCAGGGAGGGGGCACAGGGGTGCTGACGCCGTGTCCCCCCCGCTGCAGGAGGGCTTTGTCCCCAAGAAGCTGCAGAGGTTGGGCCAGCGGAGCCACGGGGCTGCCAGGAGGGACCTCCTCGCCAAGAGCCCATGCGGCACACCAGAGCTGCTGGTGAGAGAGGCTGGAGCGCTCCGGGGGAACCACGGATGGGTGATCATGAGCAAAGTGGCATCTGCCGCTCTGCCTCTGCGGGAGGAGTGTGCATGTGGGAGATGGGCGGGCTGGGGGGTCATGGGCTCCCCCTGACTTCAAAGCTGCGAGGCACTTGGAGGTGGATGGCCTTGGGCACGGGATCCGTTCCTGCCTGGGGGTGGGAAGCAGCTGTCAGGGCTTGTCCCCTTCACGATCTCCTCCCCCTCTCCCCCAAGTTCCCCCAGCTGCTGCCGTGGCAGAGTGATGCCACCGTGCCCCAGGGGATGGAGAAGCCGGTGACCACGCCAGTGATAAAGAAGGTACGTGGCCACCTTTGGCAGTGGATGGAGCCCCACAGTCCCCTCGTGGGGTCTCCGAAGGGGGGTCTGGGGCCGAAGGTCCCTGGGGCGGGGGCAGGTTGGCGAGCAGCAGCAGCCCTGGAGTCGGCGGCTTGCCAGACCCACGGGCAGCAGCGCGGCCTCTCCCCACAGCGTCCGGGCAAGCGCGGCCAGGGCCGGCAGCTCTTCCGCTCGCCCTGGGTGCCCGACGGTGTCCCCGGGTCCGTCCCGAAGCGGGGACTTCCCTCGGACAGGGACAGCCCTGCCAGTGCCAGGCGGCAGAGGAGGGTGGCCGGCAGCCCTGAGCAGAAGCCATCGCTGCAGCCGGTGGGTGATGGGGAAGGTGTGGGGGGAGAGCCGGCCTGTCCCTGGCAGGACTGGGCCACGGCCCGGCTGTGCCAGAGCCCCTGCTGACACCTGGGGGTGTCTCTGGTTGGTGCCTCCACAGGGAGTGTGGCCGGAGCCTTGCAGGTCTGCCCAGCTGGAGGAGATCGAGAACCTGCTGGCCAACGATGACCAGGAGCTCATTGGGGACTTCTCCAAGGTAGGGCCACGAGGATGGGGCAGCTCTGGGGGCGCTGCCCCTGTTGTTGTGAGCAGGGACCATCATTAGAGCCCCGTAGTGCTGCCAAAGAGAGCCCAAAGCGAGCTGGTGGCCCTTGCTTGGGGACAGGGGGCCTTGGGGCTGTGATTTGCCAGCCTGCAGCGCCTGCAGGGGCTGAAGAGCCCCATCACTGCTCCCCTGCTCCGTGCCCGTGCCACTGACACGTCTGTCTGTCCCTTCCCCGCCCGAGGCTGCAGAACCGGCCCCTGGGGGCTCGGGGGCTGGGGGGACCCTCGGGAGGTGCCCCTGTGACAGCGATGAGCCCTGGGCTTTTCCCTTCCAGCCTCACGTCCTGCCGACGGTGGAGGGGAAGGACCCGGGCCTGAAGTACATCTCCCCTGGCACGGTAAGAGGACAGCGACCCTTCCGCAGCCCCCCTGAGGGGCCGCCTGCCTGCTCCCTCCCCCCGCCCGCCCCTGTGTGTCCCCCGTTGGTGACCCGCTCCCCCCGCAGCTGGAGAAGGTGCTGTCGGGGCACTACAGCAGCTTCATCGAGAGCAGCATCGTCGTGGACTGCCGGTACCCCTACGAGTACGAGGGCGGCCACGTCAAGGTCAGAGCGCCCCCGTGGCCGGGAGGAAGTGGGGGGTGTCCGAGAGGTGTCCCACAGGTGCTGAGCCCACCCCGCCAGGTGTGGAGACAACAGGGATTCAGGATCTCCCGGGATCTGCTGAGTACCCTCCGAGAGATTAAGCAACCCCTCCAAAGAGGAGTGAAGCACTCCAGAGCCCCTCTGAGTCCCGGAGGGACTGAGCAGCTCCCCCATGAAGGGCCCCGAGCCTCCCGGAGGGATGGAGCAGCCCCCTCAAAGGGCTGATTCCCAAGTGGAAACAGGAGCATGATGGTGGGGGAGGCTGGGGGCAGCGTCTTTGAGTCCCTGGAGAAAATGAAATTGGAGACGGGAAAAGGCGCCTCGTGTTCCTCCCCAGGGCGCTGTCAACCTGCCGCTGCAGCAGGACGTGGAGAAATTCCTGCTGGAGCGTCCCCTCGTGCCCCAGGACATCGGCAAGAGGGTGATCATCATCTTCCACTGCGAGTTCTCTGTTGAGCGGGGGCCCAGAATGTAAGTGAGGGCACGGGGGACACATAGGGGTGTGCCAGCCCCCCGGGCACGCCCGGATCCCCGCCCGGGGCTAACGCCGTGGGCTTTGCCCGGCCACAGGTGCAAATTCCTGCGGGAGAAGGATCGCTCCTGCCACGAGTACCCGCAGCTGCACTACCCCGAGCTCTACGTCCTGAAGGGGGGGTACCGCGAGTTCTTCTTCCAGTTCCCGGTGAGTCCCTGCCGGTGGCAGGAGGGCAGGAACTGGGGGGCACAGGGCAGTGGGGAGGGGCGGCTCTGAGCGCCTTCCCTGCCGTGGGAGGGGATCTCCGGGCCGGGGGCTGCGCTGCGAGGGCTGACGGAGCTGTGGGTTGCAGGGCCACTGCGAGCCCCGGGACTATCGGCCCATGGAGCACCCCGCGTTCAGGGAGGAGCTGCGCAAGTTCCGCGGGCAGAGGCGGCGCGGCCGGCGGGCGCTCTCCATCCGCGGGCGGGACCTGTGAGTCCCCGCAGCCCCTCGGGGGAACGATGGAGCTGGGATTGCAGGAAGGATTCCCTTGGCTAGGGATGCACCTCGGCTTGGGCTGGTTTATCGGACGGCTTTGGGGTGATATGTAGTGTTAGGACTGGATCTGAGTTTGTTTATTGCTATAAATATTTTTTTCTATTGTTTTAAATATTTTTGTGTTCATCGTTATGAATTTTTGGTTGTTGTATAATTATTTGTTTGTTTATTGTTCTAAATATTTCTGTGTTGTTATAAATATTTTTGTGATTATTGTTATAAATATTTTTGTGTGTTTATTGTTATAAATATTTTTGTGTTTGTTGCTATGAAATTTTGGTTATTGGTATATTTTGGTTATTTGGTATATTGGTATATTTGGTTATGGGTATATTTGTTTGTTTGTTTGTTTGTTGCTTATAAATATTTCTGTCTTAACTGTTGTGAATATTTTTGTGTTTGTCTCTTGTTAGGGCTGTTTGTTCCAGTCTCTGTCAATAAACTCCTGTTGCAGGAGAACAAACTCGGCTCCCGAGCTCTCTCTGCCCGCACCAGGGCGCTGTGGGGCTGGGAGCCCAGGATCCGGGGCTGGGGCACAGGCAGGCTGGGCTGGAGGACTCTGGGCTCTGGGAAGGTGTTCAGCTGCTGGCAGGGGACAGGGCTGGTCTCGGGATCTCCTCTGGTCTGGTCTGGTTGGGAAGATCCTGAGTGTCTCTGTTAAAAGCCTCTTTTCCCCAACCCAGCAGCCAAAGAAGGAGTCGAGAGTTCGGTTCACGTTCTCAAGGTTGTTTGTTATTTCTTTATCTCAAACATTTTCTGTGTGGCCTGCCAGGGTCTGTTCTGCAGGTCTGTCCGAGGCACACTCCCCGCCCATGGGCTGGTGCTATATTTTATACTAAAAACTACGTATACTATGTTTACCATTATGTTCCAATACCTATCACCTATGTTAGACAGTGACTCTCTACTGTAAACCAATCTGTGAATGCCAACATCATCCTGAACATGGATGCCAGGGAGAAGAAAGAAGAAGGACAGGGCACGCCCAAATCCCTCCATCTTGGAAGACCTGACCCCCATGTACAGAGTTCCAAACCCCCTGTACAAGGTCCAAAACCCCCCTGTACAATGCTCCAAAATTTTTCCCTTCACCCTCTGATTGCTACTGCTACGCTACTTAAATGTTTGTCACCTGTCATTCTTCATATAAGGTTGGTAATTTGCTCCATGAATTGAGATCAAATTCCCAGGTGTCTTTGGCTTCCTGCCAGGGTCTCCGAGCCCCTGCCAGGGCTTTGAGACATCCAGGGCATCCAGAGGGATGTCCTGGGTTCTGACAGGCTGGGGCGATGGCTGCCCTGGGGCGTGGTGGTGGCTTCCCCAGGGACAAGGTGGCTGAGGCAGGGACAAGTGTTGGCCCCTTGGCTGCCTTTCCTGCATGCTGGGCTGGCAGCAGTGTGGCCCCAGATCCTCATGGGATCCTCTTTCCTGGGCACGCTGGGCTTGGCAGGAGCCCTGGGACACTTGGGGTGACTGTGGGACCCCCCCAGGCTGGATACTCTCTTTTCTCAGGGAGTCTCCTGAACTTTGCAGCACCCCCAGGGCAGGGACACCCATTCCTGAGGGGAGCCTGGGCTCAGTTGGACTCCCAGAACTGTGGCAGGCCCAGTTTGGGGTCAGGGCTCATCGGGGCACTCAGGGGCATCAACCCCTCAAATTCTGAGAAACAATTTCTGATGACCCGTTAAAATATGGTGGGGGAAAAAAAGATAAGATCAAAGCAAATTAACTTTATCTATAAAGGGTTGCCATAAAACTTTGGCTGTCACACAATACATTCCCTCACTTGTGATTATGAAGGACTATTTATTTAATTGTTGATATCTTTTACATTTCCCTTGAAATGCTAAAAGGTTGACCTTCTGGTCTAGAGGTTCAGTAGGCCATCTGGTGTCCATGGCACCTGCTTTGCTATGAGTCTATGTCATAGTAACAAAACACCAAACCTGACTCTTTCTCCAGGAGTCTTTATAGCATATGCAAAAGCTTCAGTGAGCTTTGGTGCTCCCCAGCTGCAATAAAGTGATGATAATAATATTATATCACTAAGTAATTTTTCATTACAGAGAAGTATTTAACACCATGAGAAATGGGAAATATAATCTACACTGACACCCGTTGTGATGTGGCTGTGGAATACACAACGACTAAATAGCAAGTAAAACCAATGAGTATGATAATGCCCCACCATAACCCCATTTTAAACACTCTGCTGGGTAATTTTGACATGGAAACAGCATGACAGTAAATGCATATTCCCTGAAACTCACTGAGTGTTTATCCGAGCAGTGTCACAAAGAAGCCAGGAAGCAATTTTCATCGTGGGCTGCCAGCAAGAGGGGTTTCCCTGCAGGGTGCTGTGCTCAGACGGGTGCTGAAGAGCAGATTTTCTGTGTGGTACCCTTGTCCCAGCACAGCCAGGAGGGCATGGTTATAAAAGCCACCTGCAAAGGTTTTAGGCTGCCTGCAGCTGCCCTCCTGGACCTGCAGCCACCCAGTGTTAGGCTCAGCTCTGTAAAATCCTCCATAAATAATTGCATTTGTTTCAACTTTGTGTGTGTTGACCCATACTTATTATTCTGGGATGCTCCTGGCCTGCTCTTTACCCTATGCATGATCAGGAAACCAAACCAGACCTGCTCATTTTGCTGCAGATCCTTGCAAATTGAATTTCCTGAGACTGCTGGATCTCGCTAGCAGCTCAGAGCTCATTAGTGAATCTAATTTAAGGTCCTAGCAGTGTACAACTGCTGCCCACAGCATGCATGGATACACAGCAGCAGATTTGGAAGCCCCACAGCAATGGTGCTCCCACTGTTCCAAATGGAGACTGAGTACAACTCCCTGAAAGGAAATGGTGACATTTTTTTCCTCCTCTGGTTTCCCCTGCCAGAGCACACTGCTCTTTTTTACATCTGTTCTTGGCCTCTAACAAACCAGCAAAGGGCAGTTAGTGTCCTGAGAGCCCATGACATGACATCTTTGACCAGGAAAAATAATCCCAAGTCAGTCTCCAGTCTTCAAAGGCATTTTCTGGACCAGCTCCTGCTGGGGACAGCCCTGTTCTGAGTGAGCTGGGCTGTGTGGCTCAGTGCTCCTGCATGCAGGCAGCCCAGGAGTGCTGCCAGAAAAAGGAAGAATGGAAGAGAAGCTTGTCTCCCAGCTATTCCCAGAGTCAGGAGATGATCTTCCCAGGCTCCTGTGTGACCAAACTGAAGTTCCTCCCATTCTCCAAGAGGTGGCAGAGAATCAGCCTTTGGCACCAAGGTCATCTTCTGCCTGTTTCATTTACAGAAAGCGTAGGACAGGGTCAGAACACCCATTTCCTGCTCCCCAGATTTCTGTTACCTTATGATGTCCAACCATACTGTGGAGTTTTCTTCTTGCTGCCAATCTTTAGCCCTGCAAGATTTGGGAAGCTGAGGGGTGAGGTCCATCATCCACTGCTGCTTTTCTAAGAGGGCACACAAGAATACACAACACTGCCTTTGCAGAGGTGCAGAAATGCAACTTTCAACCTTTTAGTAATCCTCTTCCTGTCCCCCAGGCTCACATACCCTGAATTTTGCTTTTTACCATAACTCAGTCACTGTAGTCCTAATTTTTTCTTTTCTTTGGACATACAGGAGGTCTTCATGCCACATGTAAAACTCTGGCCTTCTGCTGACATTTTCCTTCTCCGTTATCTGCCTTAAGCCCCTTCTCTCCACAAACTCTCGCCTAACCCTTGCTGGTTGTGCTTCCCTCTCTTTTCTGCTGCCCCATCATTCTCCAAGATCAAGCCCATGGCCCCAGCCTTGCACACCATGTATGATCCACACCTCTCCTTCCTTCCATGTCACTTCTCCTCCATCTCACACCTGAGGTGTCACACAGCCACGGCTGCACACCCCAACTCTGCTCCTGAAACCTGGGACAAAGTTCCTTGCCTTTCCACCTCTCTCTTTCTCTTTATTGTTTGTCAAGCCAGATATAAAATCTGTCTGTCTCACAGATTAAACATTACCTGAGGGAAAGGAAAAAAGAACGGAAACTGTCTCCAACTCTGGCTCGCCCTGATGGTGACATATATGGAAATCTCTGCCCTGCAAGATCAGTTGGTGGCAATGTTCTACTGCTATTTTAAGCTTTAATCTCCTTGCTGTCTGCTGGCAACAGTTAAAGTGTGAGTGCTACTTCCTCCCACGTCCCTGCTGCAGTTCCTCTCTCTGTGGAGGAAACCAGGGGTGCCACTCCCTATAAAATGCCTTGGTGGGATTTTCAACTGCTCTTGGCTCTGACCCCCTTCAGCAAACAAAGGGGAGTAAGGCACTTTCAAGTACTTTTAACCATCTCACCTTAAAATTACTTAAGCAAGGACTCTCATGTAGGGTGCGTTTGAACTTCACTCTTCAAGTACCATTAAGGTGGATTTGGTAGATGCAGGGTCCCTTGTTAGCACTTCATTCTCCACAAGATAAGAAGAAACATAAATAGAAGCAACACTTTGTCTGCATTTCATTCACAGGCAAAAACTAGACTCAGGTCTAGTGGTGATGTGGCAGAAGCCCTGGGATGGTGCAGGGCGTGTCAAAGCCAGCAGAGGTCCTTGCAAATTCACACCACCCTCCATCTCCCTGGCTTGTCTTTGCTCCTCAGACCTTTGACAAAGCTGTCCAAACGTGCCCAACAACTTCTATTGGCCTGAGCAAAACTGCAGCTACTTCAGAAGAGGACATGCCAGCTCAAAGCACTGGAAAGCCACGAGCCAGCCTCAGCTCAAGTGGCTGAATTAAAGGCATTCCAGAAATTTTCTCAATAGTACCTGATAATTGTTTAATGTCACACCTGATTAATTTCGAATAGCTGTTAGTAACTTTCTTTAGCAACTCTTTGTTTCAAGATTCAGCAGTTCCCTTGTGAAGAGAGCTGCGGCCACCCAGGAGGATCGGGTAAAAACACTATTAATTATAAATGCCCGGCGGATTAAAGACTCGTTTGGCCAGCAAAAGGCAGGCTTTTCCAGCCAGGCACGGGCGAATCGCTTCTCCTCCGGCCGGGCAGACTGAGGGGACGCAGTGCCATCAGCTGGGCGCTGGCAGCCACTGTCCGAGCGCTTTTCCAGCCAGGCAGGGGGGCTGGCTCATCCGACAGCATCTCCTCCCTGGAGAAGCTCCTTGCGCAGGCACCAGCACATGCAGAGCCTGTGCCTGCCCTAGGTGAGGAGGGCAAACCGGCACAAAACCAGGATTAGGAGCTCTTGAGCCCATTAAGAGGACAGCAGCTAATCCTTGCTTCGAAGGAGCTTTAAGGACCTTATGTCCTGCAAGGTGCACCATGCCACACACCAGCACCTATTACCTGGTTTGGGCTGGGATGGAGTTAATTTTCTTCCAGGCTGCTGGACAGGGCTGTTTTGGCTCTGTGCTGAAAACAGTCTTGATAACCCAGGTGTTGGAACGCAGGGCACAGGGAATGTT